TCTGTGTGTGTGTGTGTGTGTGTGTGTGTGTGTGTGTGTGTATGTGTGTGTATCTCACATTTTCTTTATCCATTCATCTGTCAGTGGATACTTAGGTTGTTTCCATATCTTGACTGTTGTAAATAATGGTGCAGTGAACATGGGGGTGTATATATCTTTTTGAGTTAGTATTTCTGTTTTCTTTAAATAAATGCCCAGAAGTGGAACTGCTGGATCATGTGGTAATTCAGTTTTTAATTTTTCAGGGAACCTACATACCATTTTCCATAGTGACTTTACTAATTTACATTCCCAGTAAAAGTGCTCAAGTGTTTCCTTTTCTCAACATCCTCACCAACACTTGGTATTTCTTATGTTTTTGATGATGGTCATTCTGATAGGTGTGAGGTGCTATCTTACTATGATTTTGATTCACATTTCCCTGATGATTAGTGATGTTGAGCACCTTTTCATTCATCCATTGGCTATCTGTATGTCTTCTTTGGAAAAATGTCTATTCAGATCCTCTGCCCATTTTTTTTAACCAGTTTGTTTTATTTGCTGTGGAGTTGTATGAGTTCTTTATATGTTGGATATCAACCCCTTATCAGGTATATGACTTGCAAATACTTTCTCTCATTCAGTAGGTTGCCTTTTCATTTTGTTGATGGTTTTCTTTGCTTTTGATGTCAAATCCAAAAAATCATTACCAAGACTGATGTCAAGGAGCTTACTGCCTGTGTTTTCTTCTAGGATTTTTATGGTTTTAGATCATACATTTAAGTTTTTGACCCATTTTGAGTTAATTTTTGTGTATGATGTAAGACAGTGGTCCAGTTTATTTTTATGCTCTCTGTTCTGTTCCATTGATCTATGTGTCTGTGTTTGTGCCATTACCATACTATTTCGATTACTGTAGCTTGGTAATATAGTTTGAAATCAGGGCACATGATGCCTCCAGTTGTTCTTTCTCAAGATTGTTTTGGCTATCAGAGTCTTTTCTGGTTTTATGCAAATTTTAAGATTGTTCTATTTCTATGAAAAATGTCATTGGAATTTTGATAGGGATTGCATTGAATCTGTAGATTGCTTTGGGTAGTACAGACATTGCAACAATATTCTTTCAATCCATGAGTGTAAAATACCTTTTCATTTATTTGTGTTATCTTCCATTTCTTTTATCAGTATCTTAGTTTTCAGTGTACAGGTCTTTCACCACCTTGGTTAAATTTATTTTTAGGTAATTTATCCTTTTTGATGCAATTATAAATGGGGTTGTTTTCTTAATTTCTCTTTCTGGCAGTTCTTTATTAGTGAACAGAAATGCAGCAGATTTCTGTATATTGATTTTGTATCCTGAAATTTTGCCAAATTCATTTATTGGCTCTCATAATTTTTTGATGGAATCCTTAGTGTTTTGTATATATAATATAATGTCATCTGTAAATAGTGATAGTTTTAGGTCTTTCATTTAACTTTGGATGCCCTTTTAAAAATTTTTATTATTATTGTTTTTGTCTGATTTCTCTGGCTAGCACTTCCAATACTATGTTGAATCAAAGTGGCAAGAGTGAGCATCTTTATCTTGCTCTTTATCTTAGAAGAAAAGCTTTCAGTTTTTTACCGTTGAGTTTGATGTTACATATGTCATATATGGCCTTTATTATGTTGAGGTATATTTCCTCTATACCCACTTTGTTGAGTTTTTATCATAAATGGATCTTGAATTTTGTCAGAAGCTTTTTCTGCATCTGTTGAGATGATCATATGGTTTTTATTTTTCAAGTTGTTAATATGGTGTATCACATTGATTTGTGGTGTTGAACCATCCTTGCATCCCTTGAATAAATCCCAGTTGATCATGATGTATGATCCTTTTAATATATTGTTGAATTTGGTTTGCTAATATTTTATTGAGGAGTTTTGCATCTATGTTCATCAGGGATATTGGCCTGCAGTTTTCGTTTCTTGTAGTGACCTTCTCTGGAATGATTGGCCAGTCACTCAGCCACATGCTGATCTCGTTTAATGCTCATAGCAACCCAATAAGGTAGACGGTGTTACTTCATTTTGTAGTTGAGGAAACTGAGCCTCAGTGAGATTAAGTAACTTACCAAGGTAATATAATTATAAGTGGTAGATACAGGATTCAAACCAGGTTTATTTTGGTTCCAGAGCCTGTTCTGTGAGCACCTCTGTGGTCCTGCCTCCCAGTTGTGTCTGCTAACATCCAGCTGTGTAGCCTGTGCTACAGCCAAATGAATCTGGTTCCCATTCCCTGAATTTACATTGCTCTTTTCTACTTTGTTACCTTTTCTTATATTGTTTCCTTTGCCTGGAATTATACTACCTCTGCTCTAATTTTGTTCCTGGGACTTCTGTTCATTGAGTCCTAGTCTTCCTCTAAAAAGGGTCACTAGAGTCTTACACTTGGATTTGTTGGAAGGCAGCATGACTTGGTGGAAAGTGCAAGGACTCCACCTTTTAATTATCTTGCGGCCAGGGCAAGTTTTAAAACTTTTGATGCCCAGTATCTTTGCTGTAAAGTGAGGATACCAGTGCCCACTCTTGTGGGTTTATGGAGAGAATTAAAATGAAATGACATGTAAAGGACTTAGACCAATTCCAGTAAGTGGCAGTTCCTTACTTGTGCAGCCCTTTGGATTTATGTTGCAGGGCTGATTGCAGCCTGCCTTGTATTACAGTTCCTTGTGCACGTTTACCTCTGCTGCTTGTACTTGGCTGAAAGATTCTGTGTCTTAATCATCTTCATATCTCACCAGCATCCATGCACAACATCATGGGCACAGGTGCTCACTGAATCATCTTCCATGATTTCAAGTAACTGCATGTATGTAAAGTACCATGTACTTTTAGTCTCAGTCTAATCATGTCATGCTGTATTTACAGACCCTCTCTCCCTTCTTCCCATTCTTTCCCCCTCACTTCTAGAAATATAATTTAACTATATGTTTACCTAATTATGGCATAAACACATGACATAGTAGAAATGTATACTACTTGGTGTAATATATGATTCATTTTAAATTCAAAAAACAGAAATAGAGAAAAACAGATTTTCTTTTGTAATTGTAACTTGTTTGATTTGGAGCAAGATCTGGAGTGATTTGGAGTGAATACTTTTAGTTTGTACAAAGATGTTGATAATCAGATCTTATATTTCTTATGGTGGACAACATGGAATTCAGCTGTTAATTGGAAATGGTTCTTTGATACTCAGTTTTATAATGGACTAAAGTGTTCATAAGAGTAAGTTTTTCTTAGTGTGGTTAGAATCTTTGCATATGTGAATTTGCAAGTAACTGCTAAGGTATTTATAGAATTCTCATATTCCAACATGTTTTAATGTTTACTACCGATTTGCATGATAGTTCAATAATTTTTACTTGCAGTGTTTTAATTGCATTGTTGATATTAAGGTAAGCTCAGTGAGGACAAGGATTTTAGGTTTGTCTACTGCTGTATCCATGGTGCCTAGAATAGTACCTGAAACACAGTGGACAATGGATTTTTTTTTATCGAATGACTGAATTAAGAAAGATGACCTTAACAATGATAATTCCTTTTCATAAAGCTTAAATCAGAAAGCCTTTTTTATAGAATTCAGTCTTCAACTCCACTGTTTTGGGACATGGCTCAGGCCATCCCTGTCATTTCTAGACATTCTTTTCATCATAGGAAAGTGGGCTAAGTTATTCCTTGCCAAATGAGGTTTCTAAAGCCACAATTTGACTAAGAATGAGAGACTCAAATCATATGTTTGTGTAACTACTTATGAACACCCTGACGTAGAAATATTCTAAGTGTTTATAAATAGGTTGAAAAGGCTGCCAAAAAGATCGTGTATCCACCTCATCTTTGCTGCAAGTAGTGGCAGTCATTTTTCCCTTGCCTGAATGGAACAAGTTGTCCTTTTGGGACATTTATTCAGCAAATAGTGCACGCCTCCTCTTTGCACAGGACTATGCTAATAAGCACAGCTGGGAAAAACAAAGTTGAAGATGATGCTACCCTAACCTTTGGGGGGAAAATTTTGGAACAAATCTAGTAGGAAGAATTAATTGTGCTTTTTATTTTCCAGTGTATATGAATCTTCAATTTATTATTAACTGATAAACATGATTTAAAACATTTTATTGCTTATTAAACATGTTCCTTGCTTGCCTTTACTTATTTTGTTACATTGATTTTTATTTTATTATCTTCCTTTTAATAATTCTCTTCAGTTTGTGTAAAAATTTAAGATCCCTTTAAAAGACTACCCTATAATACTTAGGCATAAACAACCGATTACATGTAGGGAATTTGCTATTAATTAAAAATAAAGATGTGACTCATTACATAAGAAATTATTTCCTGACATATCTTTTTCTCATAGTAGATCTAAAATATTTTATTTCTAATAGCATCTGTATACAATGTAGTTGTAAAGTATTTTAAAGAAGTGTTATGTATTTTTTAATTTAAAAATTTTTTAATTGAAATATAGTTGATATACAGTATTATGTAAGTTACAGGTGTACAACAGAGTGATTCACAATTTTTAAAGGTTATAGTCCATTTATACTTATTATAAAATATTGGCTATATCCCCTGCACAGAGTATCCTTATAGTTTATTTATTTTATATATTGTAGTTTATACCTCTTAATTTCCTTCCGCTATCTTGCCCCTCCCCACTTTCTTCTCCCTACTGGTAACCACTAGTTTGTTCTCTATATCTGTAAGTCTTTTTCTTTTTCGTTGTATTCACCAGTTTGTTTTATTTTTTAGATTCCACATGTAAGTAATATCATACAGTATTTCTATTTCTCTGCCTGACTTATTTCACTTTACATAATACGTAGCATCCAAGTCCATCCATGTTGTTGCAAATGGCAAAATTTTCATTCTTTTTTATGGCTGAGTAGTAGTCCATTGTGTGTGTGTGTGTGTGTGTGTGTGTGTGTGTGTGTGTGTGTGTGTGTGTGTGTGTCTGTCTTCTTTTATCCATCCATCTGTTGATCAACACATAGGTTGCTTCCATATCTTGGCAGTTATAAATAATGCTGCTATGGGGTGGGGAGGATATAGCTCAGTGGTTGAGTGTCTGCTTAGCATGCACGAGGTCCTGAGTTAAACCCCCAGTACCTCCACTAAGAAATAAATTAAATAAATAAACCTAATTATTTCCTCCCCCCAAAAAAACAAAAAAAAAATTTAAATTAAAAAAATAATAATAGTGCTATGAGCATTGAGGTGCATGTATCTTTTCGAATTAGTGGTTTTTTGTTTTTTTTTTTCAAATACCCAGGAGTAGAATTGCTGGGTCATACAGGGATTCTATTTTTAGGTTTTGTTTGTTTGTTTTTGAGAAACCTCTGTACTGTTTTCCATAGTGGCTACAACAGTTTAAATTCCCACCAACAGTGCACGAGGGTTCCCTTTTCTCCACATCCTTGCCAACATTTGTTATTTGTGATCTTTTTGATGATAACTATTCTGACAGGTGTGAGGTGACATCTCATTGTGGTTTTAATTTTCATTTCTCTGGAGATTAAGGATATTGAGCATCTTTAGTTGTGCCTGTTGGCCATCTGTATGTCTTCTTTGGAAAAATGTCTATTCAGGTCTTTTAGTTGGGTTGTTTGTTTTTTGATGTTGACTTGTATGAGCTGCTTATATATTTTGGATATTAACCCCTTCATCGGTCATACCATTTGCAAATATTCCCTCCCGTTCAGTAGTTTGTCTTTTTATTTTGTTGATGGTTTCCTTTGCTGTGCAAAGCTTTTAAGTTTATTTAGATCCCATTTGTTTATTTTTGCTTTTATTTCCGTTGCTTTAGGAGGCAGATAAAAAAAAATATTGCTACTATTTATGTCAAAGAGTGTTCTGCCTATGTTTTCTTCTTATGGTTTCTGGTTTTACATTTAGGTCTTTAATCCATTTTGAGTTTATTTTTGTATATGGTGTTAGAGAATGTTCTAATTTCATTCTTTTAAATTTAGCTTCCAGTTTTCAAGTATTATATTTTTAAAAATATTTCTGAAAAGACTTGGATTATATGGTAAATATCCTTCCTATCACCTCAACTTGTAGTTGCCAGAACAAGCAGGAGACTCAGAACACTTGCTTTTTGCCCAGAAGCTTAGTAACAACTATAACTCTGAATACGATGGGCTTATTAAATCAGTCTAGTTTGTTTTACTCCAGGGATACAATTAAAAATCATTTTACAATGGAATAAATTGAGAGTTCATAAATAAAGCTGTGTCTATGGCTGATTGACTTTTTATTAAGGGTAGCAAGACTATTCAATAGGGAGAGAATAGTCTTTTCAACAATTGTTGCTGCGACAGCTGGATATCCACATGCAAAATAATGAATTCCTGCCTCATACCGTAGATAAAAATTACCTCACAATGGTACCTAAATACAACGGCTGAAAGTGTAAACCTTAGACGTAAACCTAGTTGTTAATCTTTGTGACCTTGAAATGGGCAGCAGTTTAATTATGACACTAAAAGCACAAGCAACAGAAGTAAAAATAGATAAATTGGTCTTTATCAAAATTATAAACACTTGTATGTCAAAGGACACTGTGAAGAAAATGAAAAGTCAGCCTACAGAATGGAAGGAAATACTTGCAAATTATACATCTGATAAAGGTCTAGTATCTGGAGTAGATAACTCCCAATACAGCTCAGCAATAATCAAATAACCAATTTAAAAATGGGCAAAGAATTTGCATAAACATTTCTCCAAAGAAGATATACAAATGGCTGATAAGCACATGTAAAGATATTCCACATGAGTGTTTAGCATCACATTTGTATGTGATGTCCAGAATGGGCAAATCCATTAGAAAGTAAATTAGCCATCCCCCACAGATGAAGAGGGAATTAGGAGGTACAGGGTTTCTTTTTTTTGGAGTGATGGAAGTGTTCTGGAATTAGATAGTGGTGATGGCTGCACAACGTTGTGAATATGCTAACCAACCCAACCACACACCACAAAATGATTAAAGTGGTTAATTTTATGTTATGTGAATTCTATCTCAATAAACATTTTTAAAATAAAAATGATATGGGACAGTAAAAAGTATATTTCAAATCTGCATTTTCAATGAAAATATTATTTTAAATCATATCTGTAGATTTCAATGTCTAAATGTGTCACCATCTTTCTTTACTTCAGGATGCTAGGAAGGCATGTAATGATGCAACACTCGTTCAGGTAAAGTTTTGTTTTCCTTAGTTCATTTTAGTAATTCACACGAAACAGCTTGACACTGATGCAAATGACATTCAGATTCTTTTTATTAGTATTTAATTGAAAGAAAAATGAAATCTCTATTTAAATTAAACACTAATTTTTCAGATGCTGTACAAGTGCTTTTTAAAGCATATGTGTTAAAACAGAAGTCTGTGAAAAAATAAATACTATAAAAATACACAGATTCATATACTTCATGTTTCTTTTTAGGTAACTTCTGATTCTTTTTGATACTACCTGGTTAATCCTTTTTTTTCTTATATAAACTATTAGGAAGATTTCATTAGTTTAATTAATATTGATCACTTTTATTAAGGAAATATTTTACATGCTGTTCAAACATAAAATTGCCTTTCTTTAATTAAAATCAGAAATGTTTTATTGTTTGAGCATCTACTAATTAGATTTTTATTTGTGGCTGGCTTTTTTTTACTGAAGTTGGGAAGTATGTCTATTCTTTTTAGTTAATAGTCTACAGAAGATATTCCCACTGGAAGATGTACAAATAAATCATACTTTTTCTTGAACAATATATGATCCTATAATGACTCTATGGAATTACTTATATTAAATTACCTTAAATCACTATGAATTTGTTTTATGTCTGCTTTTTTTGCCTGTTACTGTTTCTGCTTTATTTTCTGAGCTATGTCTAAGGTAAAGAATAATGTTCTCATCACTTCCTAAAGATCACAGCGAATATGGATTCCGTGGGTCGAATACAGATGCGAACAAGACGCACACTGAGGGGTCACCTAGCTAAAATCTATGCTATGCACTGGGGATATGATTCAAGGTTTGTACCTGCCATTTTCAAACTGTCCACAGAATTATTTTTGTTTAGAGTCATCTCTTGCTTTTTCTTTGTTTAGAAACAACTTTTATCTATGAAGTGTTTGCAGAACATAAATCTAATGCTAACAGCACTTTTACTAAAATATTCATTGACACTTTAAAAGTTTAAAAACTTTTAATATGGAAAATAAATTTACCTTTCAAAAATATCCTTTATAAAATGAACCAGGAAAAATGTTTAGGCTTTCTTTTCTTTGCAGTGGGGTATTATACTTTGTTTTTTAACATGCCAAGGCAGTTTTATAGTATATCACCCTTGAAATTTCAGTTAATAAGGAAATACTCGTTCAGTATTGCTATGTACAATTTACCAGATATTGCTATAATTATTTATTACCTAAATTCACAAAGGATGGAATTACATAAAGTAACGACATTTATTTTCATTGAATACATCTTTTATTCCCCTAACCCCAACAAACAAGTGTGTGTGTTTCAAGCATGTGGGTGCACACATGTGCACACACACTCAGCTGCCCTCTGGCTTGCAATTGAATATTTAGTCATGACGATTCACTTTGTTCCTGGGGTTACAGTGTGGTCTATGCTTTTTCCAGAGTTTTTGGCAATGGCAGGGCACTTGCTGCCAGAATGGTTGACTTGTTCCTTTAATTTGGTTCATCTAACTGAGAAACAGGCTTAACTAAGACATTATTTAATAGAAGTTGCTCATTTTTCCTCTTCTTCCAGGAGAACCTAAAAAGGTCACTGCGTGTTGCTAATACTTGACACATCTCGAAGTAGACGGATATTTGAGTACAGTCATATAGAACTGGTGCCTCTTGGGAGGGAACAAGTAAAATTACATGATTGACAACTGACATAAAGCTAGGCCAAGTGTTTTATTCCTTTTCTTGAAGAAGTTTACGATAAAAAATAATCTGCCCATTGATACAGCAAATGTTTAACTCAAAACACAATCACTTGAAACAATGATAATGTTGCTTACTTTCCTTAAAATTTTCTCAAGACCATTAATCTTCATAGAAAGACAGAAGTATCAACAAAGAACCTGTCTCACCTTGGCTTCCTACCCATTCTGATTATCCACTTATTATTTATCGTTCTTCTCAACTCAGTGCTGATGATGCCTGTTGATTTTTAAAGAATTTACTTTAGGTTCAATCCAACAGCTTACAGTTAGATCTTCGCTTTTATAAAACTTACAGTAATCACTACATAACCATGTTCTTTGCCTGTAGTGAAGGGACCTGGGTGGCTGGGCGACAGGGACAGGAATGTGATTCTTTTCACTGTATCTCCTTTTGCATCTTTTGAATTTTATGCCATAGTGAAAAATAAAATTCTGAAACAGAACAAAAAATTTAGTGACTAATGATTACTTAGTCAAGAGTTCATGTTTAGCCTCGCGAACAAAGCTTTCGCCGTTTAAGCCCAGTCTACTTTTCTAAACCATTTATCTTATTTCTTACAAACGCTATATAACTGGGAAATTCACAATTCCTGAAACACCTCCCATTTTTTTTGCATCCTTGCCATGGAACATACTTAACCTCCTCGTAGAATACAGACTTTTTTTTTTTCTATCTTTAGCTTTCAAAATTCCATTTTTCAAGATGCATTTTCCTTTGTGAGACTACTTGATTAACTCAATTAGTGGTTATTTGTCCTTTGTTTATTTTCCAGTGGCCTTTGTTTTATACCACTCTTCTGCCAGTTTTCACTTGCCTGGTTTACTATAGATACGTGTTTAAGTGTCTTGTCTCCACCAGAGGTGGCGGCCACGAGGGCAGGAGGAATAGCTGGTGTTGTATCCCTAACACTGCCTTACGTTCACAGGCTCCCAGTTGATATTTGTAAATTGAATGAAATATGGTGGTTACACCTATATGTACATACTCTATTGTCATTATATTTAAATCAATAAATACTAAACCAGTCAGCTAACATCTTCCAGAATCTTGAATAAGAACTAGAATGTTTTCACCATGAAAATGTTGAATCATAACCAGAGACATTTTTAGTAAAATGTCTAAATTTTGGTAAGTTCTATGTTATGTTGAAATTTTTTTGGCATGCAGAATACATTTTTTTAAAGTTGGGAGAATATTCCCTGGTATCAGGTTTTTAATTAGAGAAGTTATTTTTGTCTTTTCTGAACTGTTCTACATGAATGCAATGCATAACTAATTTAAACTACTTTTTTCCACTGAGTGTCAAATTATTTTTGTGTTTGTTCCTCTAGGCTACTAGTCAGTGCTTCCCAAGATGGAAAATTAATTATTTGGGATAGCTATACAACAAATAAGGTAGAATTTCTTAATCATTCTCTTGTATAACCTTTTATTTGGTTTCATGTCCACCAGTTCTTCCCTTTATTCTGTTACTTCGAACTTTAATCTCCTTTTGGGATAAATTTATTCCATTAATTTTAACCTAGATCCTCTCTTGAGGCTTAGTGTTTGCTTTTAATATTGAGCTCTTTTTTTTATTCCCAAGGACAGCTATAGGATTATAGTTCAGTGTGTCTTATTTGAGTCTCATATTTCATATTAGAAGACAGTGTGCATCAGTTTTACATACAAATGACTTTTTAAAAAATTCACATTTCCTAATGTGACAGCAACCCTGTGGTTTTTATTTTTGGTTGTGGGTAAGTTAGCATGTTTTCTTTGGTCCACTCTAGGCATTGATTTGTGATTCTGGACTGCTCAGAAGAGACAGTAGATTGGAGGCAAATTATATCTTGCTTAGATCCCTTGGTGGTAAAAGCCAGTGGGTCCTCCTGGTATGTCCGCTAGAAAGAACCCCTGATGTAGACATGCTGAGAGGTAGTGGAAAGGCTCCAGGAAGACTCTCACGAGTCAAGTACTTTTAGATTCTGTATACACTTATACCACTGTTTTTTATTAAGATTTATTAAATATTTAGAAGAATTTATTTTGTGAAATAAACAGTAACTTCAGCCTAGTTAAGAATTTAAAGCTAGCTAAGACAGATTTGTAATATAACAGTTTGTTGATACTAGTCGGCATTGAGCATGTGTCTATCAACTGTATTTTCCTAAAACAAAAAAATTGCATTGAAAAAATTTCTTTTAGAGGTTAGTGAGAGCACAGTAGTACTCACATGATGTGTTGATTCTTTGTGTGGACCATTTAGCCTTACTGTTCCCATACACCTTAAATTTTGCAACCCGACCTGCAAATGATTGGTTTTGGGTAATAAGGCACCAGAGAATGGTGTGTGTAGATCAGTGCAAAATATTACCGTTGTGTTATTGGAAGGATGTAGTGCCATCTCTGTGGGAGAATCACTCTGGTCAACTTCCTTACTTGTATTGTTCAGTGTTATGTTGGAGGAAATTCTTCCTCTTTTGAGCACTACTGCAGAAACAAAGAATTTTATTAAATTCTTTAACATTTTATACTTAATTCTTCAAATGGCTACATTAGCATTGAAGCATCCTATGTTCTTGTTCTTAAAAGAATACTTTCTGAAAAAAGCACTTAAATCTGAATGATTTGATAATAATACAGGAAAAATAAGAGGCATTTTAGTATGCATTAGTATTTTATTTTTTATTTTTCTCTCAAGCCATTGCATTCTTTATGTTACTTGGCTTATTTTTTAAGGTACATTTAATTTTTAGTAGTCTTTGCTTCACTGTAAATAGGTTTGAAAAATTAATGACTGATTTTGTAATCTTCGCTTAGTAATAGTTCCTGTGCACTGCGTTTGTCCTGCAGATGCATGCTATTCCTTTGAGGTCCTCCTGGGTGATGACCTGTGCTTATGCTCCCTCTGGTAATTACGTTGCTTGTGGAGGACTGGACAACATCTGCTCTATATATAACTTAAAAACCAGAGAAGGAAATGTGAGAGTGAGCCGAGAGTTACCGGGTCACACAGGTGAGCTTCACTGCATAGTGTCCTTTCCTCCCAAACCTGACTCCTCCTGAAGAATGAGCCGGTGGCGGAGAAGGCGTGACCGAGTGGGCTCAGTTGGGCAAAGGATGAATGTGAGTCAGCTGAGAGTAGAAAGTACCATCAATCAGGGAAATACTGACTTTTTATAATTATACCAGTGATGGTCATAACTCTTTCAAAAATAGCACTATTTTTTTAAAAATTGTAAATATATTGCAAAAAATTCAAACAATAATGAAAAATATAAGAAAGCAAATATAATTTTCTGTATTCTCTGCATATAACCATACAACAATTATGAGATTTTGGCACGAGCACTTAATTATGTAGTTGAAAACATGTTATTAAGATACACTTATGAAGTATTTTCCGCTGTGTGATTGCTTTATTTGCTGGTGTGTACACTATAGTTCAGTAGTATTTGGTTAGCAGTGTTCGTTAGGAATTTATTGATACTCATCAGGTTTCAGCCTCTCTGGATTCTTGGAAATATTATTTGGCTATGCTTTTTACAAAGATCTCTATAATGGTGTTTTCCTGCCATTTCCATATTTTGAAACTGCTGAATTCTGAGCATTTGAATGCCACCTTTTTCATGAAGCCTTCACTGAAGCTTTTAAAGTAGTTTTCCAGAGTACTTAACCAAGTCTGCTATAGATTACAGATATTTGTATTAAGAAGTATCTCTCTCTCTCTTAGATAATTGTAGTAGGTGGAAGGGACTGTGATTTTCTCAAGTTTCAAGCTTGTAACTGTCAGAGGGCCCACCATGATGTCATTGACATAGTAAATACCTGAGAGAGTTTGTTGATAAAATTTAGTTGCAGATAACAGAGAGTTTGAGGTAATTATAAGTAGAACTATAGATTACACTAACAAACACTTGTTGTCTAGGTATTGTATTTTTAAAAATATATTACTATTTCATACGGTAATTGAATTAATTAGTAATGACCTAAAATTTGTTACTCTCTGTGCTGTAGGCTACTTGTCCTGCTGTCGTTTTTTAGATGACAGCCAAATTGTTACGAGTTCGGGAGATACAACTTGGTAAGTTTATTCCAGAAGAATACTGATTTGGGGGTTGAGGGTGGTATTAGAAACGAATAGTCATTAACAGTCATTAATTATTTCTATTTCCTTTTGATTATAGTGCTTTATGGGACATTGAAACTGCCCAGCAGACCACTATATTCACTGGGCATTCTGGAGACGTGATGAGTCTTTCTCTGAGTCCCGACATGAGGACTTTTGTTTCTGGTGCTTGTGATGCCTCTTCCAAATTATGGGATATTCGCGATGGAATGTGTAGACAGTCTTTCACTGGACATGTGTCAGATATTAATGCCGTCAGTGTAAGTGAATAGCATTTCTAAGGAAATTTTATTGTGCATTTAAAGTGTTGAACTCTGTAGTATGATTTTAACAATTTATCTTTAAGAATTCTTATAAATAATGTGCTCTTACAACATTGAATCCTCAAATAGAGTTTTTTTTTAATGGAAAGGTTTTAATCCATAGACTTAGGTATTTATTTGTAGGTGACAGGAATAAATTTTATTTCAACCCCATAGAGAGATAGATCATCTTTTTGGGGGGAGGTGGATTAGGTTTATTTATTTTTGGAGGTGGTACTGGGGATGGAACCCAGGACCTCATGCATGCTAAGCATGCACTCTGCCACTTGAGCTATACCCTCCCCGGATAGACCATCTTGAGCAAACAAGCAGATCATGAATATCAGCGGTGTATTCAGAGGAGAACAAAGTCCCATATCTCTGCAGTCAAAGGGAACTACCCAAAGAAAAAACAGTCTGAAAGACAAAGGCAGCTGTTAGTGTAGAGAGTATAGCTTTTAAAGTCAGCCAAACCCCTTAGTTCTGCTGGGAACTAGCCTTGTGAGATAAGGTGGGCTACTTAGCCTCTGTGAACCACACATTCCTCAGTTTTAGATATTTTTTTGCGGGGGGGATCAGGTTGGTTGGTTTGTTTATTATTCATTTATTTATTTTTAATGGAGGTACTGGGGATTGAACCCAGGACCTTGCATATGCCAAGGATGAGCTCTACCACTTAGCTGTATCCTTCCCCTCTCTCAGTTTTTAAAATAGGGATAATGCTACCTACATCAGAAAATGGTATGGAGACTAAACAAAACTATATTGGATGCTCAGTAAATGGTACGGATTTACCATTACCCGTAAAAGGATAAGCCCCTTCACATTTAAAAAAAAACAAAAACAAACAGGTAACCACAGATGGATTAATTAAGCCAGATGACAAGTATTTGAGGATGAACTAGTCACATGTGTTTATAGTTTAAAGCTAAAAGGGCATTATGAATGACAATCAGAATGATTTATCAGTCAGTATTGAGGGGAGGGGTCCTAAGAGGAGGTGGGATACTGCTTGACTTAGGTAAATTGTCCTATCTGGATCAGGTGCCAAAATGTATAGATATGGTGAGACTTTCCAAAAGGAATGTAATTGCTAACGGTTCTGTGTATAAGATATACTCTTAATTTTGCAAGAAGATATTTTTGGGGAAAAAATGTTTTTTATTTATCAAGCACGTGTTGACCAAAAAATCAAAACTAAGAGTTTTTGTGTAAATGAGTTTAGGGAATTACAGATGTAGCAACAAAATCAGTAGAAAAATAATTATTTATTAATAGCTGGGACAGCTGCTTAATTATTAAGAAAATTAAGTTAGATCCTCATACTGAATGCTATGTATCAAATACATTCCAGATAGATAAAAATTAAGATGTGAAAAATGAAATTATGAAAAAAGAAACCAGAAGAAAATATAATTGAACATCCATTAATAGACTCAAGGGGAAGGACTTTATTCATAAAAACAAGGAAAGAAATCTAAAAGAGAAGGATAAACAAATTTGACTACATAAAAATTGAAAGTTGTTTATAGATTTTAAATTTTTTTAATTGAAATAGTCAATGTACAATATTGTGTTAGTTTCAGGTGTACTACATAATGATTTAACATTTGCATAAGTTATGAAATGATCACCACAATAAGTCTAGTAACCCTGTTTCCATGCAGAGTTATTACAGTATTGACCACATTCCTTCTGCTGTGTATTACATCCCCACAGCTGATTGATTATACAGCTAGAGGTTTGTGTTTCTTAATTCCTTGCACCTATTTTGCCCACCTCCACCCCCCTCCTTCTTGCAGCCCGTTTGTTCTCTGTATCCATCCATGAGTGTCTTTTTGTTCATTTTGGTTTTTTTTAGATTCCACATATAAGTGAGATCACGTTTTTGTCTTTCTCTGTCTGACTTATTTCACTTAGCACAATACCCTCTAGACCCATCCATGTTGTTGCAGATGGCAAGATATGTGTATTTATACACACACACACACATATATATACACACAGACACACACATATATATACACACACACATATCACATCTTTATCCATTCTTCTATCAGTGGACACTGAGGTTGCTTCCATATCTTGGCTATTGTAAATAGTGCTGCAGTAAATATGGGCTGCATGTATCTTTTCCAATTAGTGTTTTTGGTTTTGGGGGTAAATACCCAGAAGTGGAATTGCTGGATCATATGGTAGTTCTCTTAATTTTTTGAGGAAACTCCATACTATTTTCCATAGTGGCTGCACCAATTTACATTCCCACCAACAGTGTAGGAGGGTTACCTTTTCTCCACATCCTCACCAACACTTGTTATTTCTTGTCTTTTTGATAATACAGATGTGAGGGGCTACCTCACTGTGGTTTTGATTTGCATTTCTCTGATGATTTAGTGATGTTGGGCGTCTTTTCATGTGTCTGCTTGCCATCTGTATATCTTCTTTGGGAAAATGTCTGTTTAGTCCTCTGCCCATATTTTAATCAATTGTTTTGTTTTGGTTTTGATACCGGGTTGCATAAGTTATTAGTATATTTTGGATATTAACCTTATTTCAGATATACTGTTTGCAAACACCTTCTCCCATTCAGTAGGCTGCCTTTTCCTCTTGACAGTTGACAGTCTCCTTTGCTGTGTAAAAGCTGTCTTGTAGTTTGAAGTAGTCCCATTTGTTTATTTTTGCTTTTTTTCCCCTTGCCTGAGGAGACAGATCCAAAAAATTATTGCTAAGGTCATTGTCAAAGAGTATACTGGTTATGTTTGCTTCTAGGAGTTTTATGGTTTCAGGTATTATTACTTTTAAGTCTTTAATCAGTTTTGAGTTTATTTTTATGTGGTGTGAGAAAGTAGTCCAGTTTGATGCTTTTGCATGTATTTGACTAGTTTTCCCAACACTATTTTTTGAAGAGGTTGTCGTTTCCTCATTGTATATTCTTGACTGTATATTCGTGGGTTTATTTCTGGGCCATCTACACTGTTCCACTGATCTATGTGTCTGTTTCTGTGCCAGTAACATACTGTTTTGTATGCAGCTTTGTAGTACTGTTTGAAATCAGGGAGTGTGATACCTCTAAAAAATTGCTTTCTATTTTTTAAAAAGTAAGAAATATTAGAAAGCAAATGATAAACTATAAATATTTGCAACAAAGGAAACATTTGTATTCTTCATTTTATTCCTGCAAAGAGTATTTTATTTTATTTATTTTATTACTGACAGAGTAATACAGATGACCAACAGATAGATGAAAAAAGTGATTTCCTCTTTTGTAAAGCATCTGAGAAAGGGGATTCACAAATTAATAACTCACAGTTTTCTTTACTACTTTATAACCTAGCCTAACTGGAATGACTTTTGTTCTCTTTCATGAAAGGTTTCCTATTTCTCATAATGAGATTTTTGGAACATTTCTTCTAAGAGTACACATATGTAAATAAATTCTGTGAATAGCAGTGTTTAAATGTTCTAGTAAGACACATGGAGTGCCAGGGCCAACACTTAATGAATACTTGCTCTGTGCTGAACAAGGGTTTGGGATTTTGTATGTATTATTTCATTCAGTCCTAACCAGCACTCAGAATCTGAAACTAAGGCCTAAGTGTTCAAGAATCTTTAGTGCCTAACATCATTCACCTGGTAAGAAGCCAAGTTGGAATCTGAACCTAGGTCTGTCTTAGCCTACAGTCTGTTGTTACACTGCCTCACATAATTTCTATATACGTTGATGGAATAAGTGTTGCTTTTCCTTCTAGTTTTTCCCAAATGGATACGCCTTTGCCACTGGCTCTGATGATGCCACTTGCCGGCTCTTTGACCTTCGTGCAGACCAGGAGTTACTGCTGTATTCTCATGACAATATCATCTGTGGGATCACTTCCGTAGCCTTCTCAAAAAGCGGGCGTCTCCTGTTAGCTGGCTATGACGACTTCAACTGTAATGTGTGGGACACGCTCAAAGGAGATCGTGCAGGTTAGTAATTAAGTCCATATTAGGTTTTGATTTTGTCAGGAAATGTGAAAGGGCTCCTGTCACTTGTTTCCGGGGCCTCCTGGACACCCCGGGGCCATGGGGAACGGTAGCCTGGCTCTTCTCATTCGTGGTCAGTATTGCCTCAACTTTGAGTGCAGTTCCCGTCCATGAACCAACTTACATTTACGTTTCTGGTTTCTGAAGAGTTATATCTGAGTCTGTAATATTTTCTTGTTTGGTAAGTTTTGACATAAAGATGAACAGTGAATATCATTTAGGGTGGTCTTTTCCAAATTACAGTTTCCCTGTAACCTGACAGGAAACACTGTAACTGTTATGGACCATGACTTTTTGCCTCCAGTCTCATCTGGGATGGGACACAGAACCACTGTCTCTCCTGAGTCCCATACTCCGAGTCCTCCTCTGCAGCTTCCAGAATATTAGCATCAAGTCATCCTGGGGACTGTCATTAATAACACATTACACAGGGTGATGTAAAAATTTTTTTGGAATAAAAATTATACTCAAGGAATCACATAGTTTTGCATGACTTGTTACCAGAACACAGCAGCCCTCTGACCCCAGCTCATATTTTCTGCTCCCAAAGAGAGCTTTTAAGTATTTACCTCCATACCTTTGAGTAACATGCCTGTATTGGTTTTTTTTAAAAAAACACTTTATGCATTATCTGTTGAGGGTTTGGCCTTGACATCCCTCCTCCCACCTCAGTGCCCATCTTCCAGTTTTTCCTGTGTAGTGAATTTTGTTTAGAACATCAGTGTTGGTGTAATTACGACTTTTTAAACAGTTCTTACTTCTGAGCAGTGAGGTATATGCTGTGACTCCTTTGCTATGCAGCTTTTTTTTTTAACATTTTAATTGATTTATAATCATTTTACAATGTTGTGTCAAATTCCAGTGTAGAGCACAATTTTTCAGTTATACATGAACATATATATATTCATTGTCACATTTTTTTCTCTGTGAGCTACCATAAGATCTTGTATATATTTCCCTGTGCTGTACGGTATAATCTTGTTTATCTGTTCTACATTTTGAAACCCCATTCTATCCCTTCCCACCTCCTGTCCCCTTGGCTATGCAGCTTTTTTTATATTCTCTAGGGTTAAATTAATTATTTGGCTTACACCCTTAGTTTTAATGTACTTCTCACTAATTAATCTTCAGACTTTCTGCCAGTTTTGTTATCTGGGAATGGACCCATTTTTACCGTTCTGGGTATTCAGTGGAGCTTTTCTATCTGGAAACTTACTTATACCTTGTAGTACTGGGAATTTTGAGAGGTTTATTTAACTGGTTGCATTTTTTCCCATTATCATTCTCTTTGTAGGACTCCCATTATTCTGATGTTGGAGTTTCTTAGACTTTATTATATTTTCTGTTTTCTGTCTGTCGTTTTTGCTCCATGTTCGAAGAAATCCTTGCCTTTTCTTTCCATGACTCTTGTGTTAAACTTTTGTTTTTTCATTTTTGCCACCATCTTTTTGAGAGGTTTTTCTCTTAAGGCACCCATTCTTTTTTTCATTAAGTTTTTTGTTTCTTTGAGGTTGTTAATGAAAGCCTTTTTTTGAAGTTTTCTTCTTTTGAGCATAATCTTTTGTGTTTTGCAGGTTGCCTTCCTTCCCCCTTATTTTTTCAGTCTCCTGTCAAGCATATTTCCTTAAAACTCTGGTGATTCTTAGCTTCTTACTCATGCTAAAGAGGGAGGCGCTGAAACTGGGAAAGCCCTCTGCACGTGGTTGGGTGTCCTGGCTGTGGCCTCACTGCAGGGCGATCCTGCCAGGCTTTCATTGGGGAACCTCTGTCCGATCTTACGGCCTTTCCCCTTGGGCCAGCTGTGTTCTCTGAGGTGGAGCTTCTCCTTTTCTTCCTGGAGTATATAAGCTGACTGGACAGTTTGGGGGCTGACTTCAGGAGGAAAGCTGGGTGCAAAAACAGTAGCAAGTAAATTTTCCTTATTCCCCATTTTCAGCAGTTTGACCAACTTGAACTCTGCCTGTTTTCTTCCAGCTGAGAGACCCTCTGTGACTCTCTCCAGCAAATGTCTCTGGTCTCATGCTCTAGGGCAGAACCATCAATCATCTGACTGCAGAGTGAAAAGACCTGGGAGTCTAGCTGGTTCCTGGACACTTTCTAATGCAGTCTTAGTTGGTCCTGTCTTTGCCCCTTTCTGGTTCCACTAGCATCTGATCCTTCTGGAGGTTCTGCAGTATAGTTTTGTTTTCTGGCTTGCCAGACCATTTGCTTTGAATTCAGCATTTTGGGGTCCACTAACAGTCACTGCCACACAGCTCACGGAACTTTGCTGCGTTGCTTGCTCTCAAATCCTCGGTGTCCAGTGCGTTTATATCCTTTCCCTTTCAAACTCCTGTACAAACTCCTGTACAGTTGTGGAAGTTTCTGAGGGACCAGAGCAGTATTATTACCAGGAATAATTTTCTACAACCTCTCTGAAGAGACTGCAGAAAAGTTCACAGTTGAGCATTTTGCAAGTGGGTTTTTAGACATACTGTTATCCAAATCCAATGACTTTTTTGAGGTATTAGGTGTTTTGCCTGGATTGAATCAATTAGTATCCATAACAAAATAAAAAAGTGTTTGTTTTCCATATTTTTTAGCATATGCTTGAGTTTTAGTTTTGCTTTGTTACAGCTGGTTGGTATCACATTGGCTCACCTGGATACTTTCACCTTAAAGCTGAACAGTGACTCGTGAATTGCTAATTCATTATCCTTTCCAATGTGACTTGGAGTATTGAGCCATAATGTTCATTTTTTGTTATTTTAACCCATAGTGGTAAAATATTTGCCTATTGGCAAACATTGCCCTACTATAGAGAAAATTAAGTTGAGGCAAGATGAACTTCTGTTCCTGCGACTGGGTGAAATGCTATGCTTCATTATAAAGATAATGCAAATTCCAACACAGTATATTAAAGAAAAAATTCTTATTGAGAATTTAATATTCTAATTTTTCTTTTAAATCTTTGCATTTCTCATTTTCCTAACAAATATTTGAGAATATTTCATTTTCTCCTGTGTGGTGATCAGTGTATCACATGAGTTTAATATACAAAAGAAACTGAAACTGGATGAGTTTGATGGTTTCAGAAAGTTATGGCCAAAACATTCCAGTGTTTGGTGGCTAAAAGAGTAAAGTAAATAAATCATGTTGATATTTTTGTAAATGGTGGAGTAAGACAGCTTCATTCTTATGTTTTTGTTGTTCTGGTGGTGAAAGTTTATTGAACTTCATTTAAAATTTTGCTTTTGCTGAAAATAGAATAGCTTATTGACAAAACTTAGTGTCAATCAGAGATGTAAAATAAAAGTCTACATATATTTTCCTAGATATAAAAAAGCATAATTATAAAATAATTTTTCAAAAATGAAAAACACAATTTGAAGCACATGTCACAAATATTCATGTAATACCAAGACTTTTATTTCATGTACATGCTCAGCTTACCCCTGGCACTCAGTCTCTCAACTCAGAGAAACTTGTTAGCTTCTTAGTACCCTCCAGGATATTTGATGCATACACTTACTTAATTCTAAAACTTGCCCACTGCTGACTTGTTACTGAACTCTTGTTTTTCAGGTGTTCTTGCAGGTCATGACAACCGTGTCAGCTGTTTAGGTGTAACTGATGATGGCATGGCTGTGGCAACAGGGTCTTGGGACAGTTTTCTTAGAATCTGGAATTAACAGTGCATACAGATTTTCTGTTCTCCACCGATATCTGGAGAAATCCGTACTACAGCCTATAGCTGTGAAAAAAGAATTTACCTTATATTTGCAGGTGAAGATTTTTCTATTGAGATTATTATATACAAAAAAAGAAGCTTTCAGTAAACTACAAAACAAAAAAAAGGTGAAAAAAACAAGGTAAAGGTGCTTGCTAAGATCAGAAGGACCAGTGCATTAGAGAAGTTGAGCTAACTTAACCTTGAATTTTTGCTTGTACTCAGTCTATTTGTGTAGAACAGAATGTATACACTATAGCAGCCTGTCATGTTTGATTATATGTATGTGTTGCATTTTTAAAGAACTATATTTTTAACTTTGTATACATAAGAAGTGTCACATTTTTGAGTTTTGTAATGGAGGAACGAGGCACAGGAATAGATGAAGTGATACCATAGGTGTGTGTACTGATGTTGGTAGAAAGTCTCTTTGAACTCCATTCTTTCTTTCTAATCTGAAAGAAATCCTGGTCACTACTGGTTAAGAATGCTGATAGGCCTAGGTACCGCGGAGGGGAGTCCTTCTGATTATCATTAGTTTCTAGTACATCGTTTGCCATCTTATCAATTTAACTAAGTGCTCATATTCGGTCCTTTGAGGGGGACATAATCATAAGGAAGGCCAGGGAATAGAGCTCTCACTCTGAAATTTTAGACATACATAAGAAACTTGTATTATGTTAATAGGTAGATAGCAGTAATCACATATAAATGTAGGCATTTTAAAAAGCTGGTTAGGATCAAATGACACTTTAGGTAGCATTCTAAATAGTTGGGCTTTCCTATTGATTTCGTATTCTAGAACTGAGTTGTAGAGTGCCCTCACTGTTTCAGAAGATTGATAAACATTTGGATTGTCCTTGCATCTGAAGAATTTCCCCGCAATGTTCTCCATCAGTATGCATCTAGACAGGAAATACAATGTAACAGCATTACATTTTTGAAAGAAGTGTAAAAGCTAACCAATCACTAGACATGACGAGTTATAATTGTAACAAGGTTGCTTTATGAATTTATGTTCACATAATATAAAATCTGAATTGATGGAAACTATCTGTGCCTTCAAAAATTTAAAAAGGAAACATTCAAGCTTTTTGATCTTAATATTTCTTTCCTTTGCACAAAATATTGGTTTCTAAGTGGTTTTGCTTCAAAGAAAATCTAAAGTGAGCCCCACTTTAAAGCAAAAAGAAAATTCTAAGAGCAGTTCTTCAAGGAGCCAGAGGAAAATACTAAGCAGTTCCTCTGCTTGTCAATGATACAATAATGTGGCTATTACTAGAGCGTGCCCCCCTGAGCTTAAACAAAGGTACATTCCCCTTTGGATTTTCTCTACAAATAACCCAAATGATTGACAATAGAAGACTGTCTTGCCTGATGGTGAAGTCTTGGGGTTTTTCCAATAAAGAAGTGTATTGTGTTTTGTAACTTAGTAAACTGTCAGTTACTGTTGACATAGGTCTGTTAACTTTTGATCACTTGTAACCTTAACCTAAATACTCCCAAATTTTACTTGTAAATTTTCATTTTTATATTGTGAATGTGCTAATAAGTGCACCAACCTTATTAAGTATAATTAAGTCAGTAACAGTTTTGTGTAGATCAGTTGATACTAAAAAGAGAATAAAATGGAAAGAGGATGATTAAGATACAGGACCAAAAAATCCAGACTATTGTAGATAGCAGGCATGAATGTATATTTATATATAAGACTTCTATGAACTTTTGCTGTTAATGACTATGGACTATTTACATCACTTCATAAAGAGCAGCTCTTTGAGATAAGGTAAGGATATTTTAAAGGAACATATTCATTTCCAAAAATAGGGATGGTTGCCATGTGGTTCAGCAATTTATTCCAAAATCCTGTTCAAGAAAGCACTTCTGCCATGTGCAAAATAGCCTTATAAAGAGTATCTCCTCTACTTTGTTGGTGGTTCTAGTAATAAGACACTTTAGCCAGAGAGGCACACAGACAAGTATTCTAGTCTTAAACATGTTAATAAAAATGATTTGATGTTATTAAATTTTTTATAGTTAAAAGGCATTTCCCATAATTAAATATGTACTAGGCAACTGAAAACTGACCACTGTTATAGCTAATTATACATGAATGACTGAATGGTGACCTTATTACCACATTAATTTAGTAGTTAAACCTTTTGTTTTCTAGAGGTATGCGTTCCAGTTGCTAGATATATTTGTTTACTTGTGGTTTTGAGTTCAGCAGATTGACCATTTCTTTTGTGCATAAGACTTCCTGAAATCAGTAAGAGTGTATAATTAATTTATAGAAGTACAGTATAGTTTGAATCTTAGTTTTTCAAAATCTTAATATGCCCATACATTGTAAGAAAGTTGCATCAATATTGTAGTTCCGGTGCCTAATAATTTTTCTTTTTACCTTGTAAGAAAGATTTAAACATAATGTGCCTCAGTAGGTTTACTTATAGATTCTTTATTCACTTCATAAAGAACAGTTTTTAAGATGTTGCAAGAATATCTTAAAGGCACATATTCTTTTCTAAAACAAAGTGGAGGGATTGCCACGTGATTCAGCACATCATCCCATAAACCTGCCCAAGAAAGCACTTTGTGCTGTCAGCAAGGACATTGCTTTCACTCTGATGGAAAGGCCTCATTTTTGGCAGCTATGCTATTAGAGATTTAGACTGCATACTCCAAGGTCCTCCCTAGCTCAGATTTTTACAGTTGTGAGTCCATGGTTACAACAGCATGTTGAGTTCCATCTTCAGAGAGGCAAAGATTTGGCTTAATATTTCAAGAGATACTTAAAGAGATACTTCTCAATTCTCCAATAGAGCCTAGTAGGCAATCTCCTTATTTTAATTTAGAGTCAGCTGAACTGATTAATATTGCATGAGGATAGTGAATTAGTCTCCTAGACATAACAGATGTAGATGCTTCTCGAATACGTTAAGTAATTTTAAAGTTAACCTACTGAAAGAGAAATGGAGCTTCTCCAGGTGACAAAATGAAATTTTTATTATTATTAAAAAAAATACCGTGTCAATATTACATGGCTAATCTCCAACACTTTTGATGTCTTAGATTTAGTAACAAATTAAGACTTTAACTGTTTTAAAAATGAAGATGTTCAGGGAAATTTATGCTTGATTATTGGTGAATGTCTCAGTTTAAATTATAACACAGTTGAACACTTGTGACCTACCTGTTGATGTGTTTAAAGTTAATGGAAACCGATTAAACAATCTCCCAAATGGGCCTATCATTTTAATAATAATGTTCTAAAACCTTTAGGGTATGATTCAGGCTTAAAAACATTTTAAAGTTAAGTGCTATGTTCAGTTTCTAATATCCCTTTTGCCATTGTGAAAAGTGAAATTTTAAATGGTTTCTTACCTCCTGTTAGAATTTTTAAAACACTCACCAGTCAGACTATCTTTCTTGTGAGAAAGGGTAGCACAATGAATAAAACTGGTATTTTAAATTAGATTAAGTAGAATGTGAAGTACATTTCATAATTAATAGTTTTTCTCCCATCATTTTCAGTTTTCTTAAATTCAGTGCAGTATTTAAAAATGTTGGTTACAATAGGTACTCATTAAAATGGTTTGTGATTGAATGTCTAAGTTAGCATAGTTTAAAAAAATAATTTATTAATCAGGTTGATGGTACACCTTGTATTTAGCAAATTTGTTTGCATGTTGATAAAATTTCCTGTCTTTTTTCTTAAATCCAATTATTGAGCCTATAAAATAGTTGATTAATGCAGCATATGAAAAACTGGTTATGTGTTTCAACTGGTGTTATATGTGCCTGACAAAATCTTACATCATCAGTATTTATTTTTTAATAGAACTTCAGTGATATACTTGGTAAATACTTCAAGCCTTTTCTGTCTCTTACACAATGGTGCTCTATCCTATTGTTTTCTCTTTTCAAAGAAGCATCTGAACACTTGCATTTGCGTATTCTTATCCAAAGGCATTGACATCTAAGTGGGTTTTTAAAGTTGATCAAAATGTTTTTCTTCACCTAGAATGGTTTCTACACTTGTGGCCAACTGAATCTGAATGTCAGTAGTTTGTAGTTAGACTATGGGAAGGTGAATGTACTAGATTAAAGCTCTTATAAAAAGCTTTACACCAAACTATGGACTTGTATCATGATTTAGCAGTATTCTTGGATCTTTCCTGCACAGTGATTCATTCCTTTATTTGTGCAGTAGCTCTGTGAAATAATGTTGCTGTGAATTGATATTGTAATCAATAAAGTGCTTTTAACCAGATTTCATGTAGCATGTTTTAAGTCAATTTTTAGTAGCATCACTTTTAGTTAAGTCCCAGAACTAAACTCCAAGCCCAGTATTTCATGCTCAGCTCTGATTCCTTTATCTAAACACAGGTAATTATTTTGTCATAAAAAATGAATGGGCTGCTGGTAGCAAGGAAGAGACTGGAGTGCCACTGACCTATCCTATAGCACTGTGAATGTTAGCCTACTATTAAAAGGCCACAGATTTTCATTAAAAAGCAAAATTACATCACTCTTTCCCTAAAGCTCCCCTTTAGGATAAAGATGAGCCAGTCTCCCCAGGATAGTTTATATGTCTACCATAAAAATCATTAATAAAAGGTTAAAACTCACTAAATGCCAGTATAAATGCTACATTTACCAACTATCAGGCAAACAAGTTTTATTTTCACCTTGTAAGCTTGCATACTTATAAAATGTAGTGTTGTAAAAAGTTTAAGCTTATACAAAGTTTATAAATAATTCTGCAAACATACATAGCAGACAAGTAAATGTGCAATAACCTTGAACTACATCAGCTGTATAAATCACATCGTTTCTTTATAATTCACGGGCTTGGTCATAGGTGTACTTATCTCCTGGTGTAAAGGTTGGGTTTCATTATTTTAGTATCCCATTTCCAACGTTCATACATTTTCGAACTTAACAGGCACAATTGCCTTCAAGCTAGTGATGGAGAACTTTAGTATAAACTTACTCTCCAGAACCACTATTCCAGGAGTTCCCAAACTTTAGCATGTATCAGGATCACCTAGTATTTGATTCAGTAGGTCTGGTGTGAGACAGAAGTTGACAAGTGATACTGTTGATCAAGGAACTAACTTTGAGAACCACTGTGCTACAGTAATGCGGTGACACCAAACCACTATGCTATTTCAAAAGTTCAAGTACTTGCATATATATATTAAGGCCTTGAACTCATAACCTTAATCAGTAGTACTCAGTCCTAGACATCAGTTTTTTATGTTATAGTTGTTATCTAATCCCACTTCTTGGTGGCTTGTATCGTTTTTTGGTTATAAAGCAACATCATTAGCTATAAACCAATATCTGTTTGGATTTGAATATTGCATCATAGTATCTGATGTGCTTAAAAATGTGTTTTTAAAAGGCTTCTATGGCCTAAATGTTATTTTCTCTTTAAAATATCCTAAGAAATAGTGTTGCACCTTCTATGAAAAGACTGGAATATCCACAAGCCTTAAAGGCACAGAAAAGGAAGTAGTCATTATTAAAAGAAAAAAGCCTGGAACATCCTTCCCTGGAAAAGCAGCACACACTAAAGCATGGTGTCTTCTGGGATTGTGCATTTCTAACAAGCGTGTAGGTTATGTTGATTTGGTGGTCCTCAAAATTACATTTTGTTCAGCAGAGCCCTAGAATGTCAGTTTTAAGTTTCAGTTAGTTTTTAACAGAGAAACAGACACAATTCTTGAACCCCAAAACATTTCATTACGGTACAAAATACAGTCATAATTTTTAACCGTGCCCTGACAAATTCATACAATTCAATAAATATAAAAGCTACCGGGGCAGGGGCGGGGGATGACGACAATCCAGCAGTATCCTTGGCAAGCACCTTCTGAGGAACACTGTTAAACATACGTTGACTGTAACCACCCAAAATTCAGACCTTCCATATCTTTGGCTATTTTTATCACTTCAAACTTGACTTCTAAGACTGAGATAGAAAGCGTTCTTTACTGGAATCAGAGTTGAGGCTGAAAATGTTTCTTTAGAAACAGGTGAGCAAACCTAGACCCAGATACTTTTATAAGAGACTATTTGTAATAACAAACCTGAATACTGTTTTACATCAGTTTTAATGGCAATAAAAGGAGTAAAAACAGCATTATGTATTAGTGGTTTACATACCTGCTGGGATGGCAAAAGTGATTGTAACCTGCATAAATAATACACTCAAGAACATTCCACACTCCCTTGTGGTTAGAGCAGTGCAGTTTATAAAACAAGAAGGTGACTATTCCCATTCAAGTAGGCATCAAAAATTAGTTTTGAGAAAGAAGATGAAAAGAGCATTCTCTAACTCCTGGATGCCAGGAAGCAGAGTTTTTCAGAATCAAAAACAAAGACAGCCCTAATTAAGAGCAAGGCCCCACCCCTCAGGGGTCACAGAGTTGGTTCTTTTGCTTCTAACGAATTCATTATTGTCACACAAAGGATCTTTCCTTACCCAAAATTAAAACTAGAGACATCATAGCATTCTTCAGAAATGCAAACACCCTGAGACAGATCAATACCAGAATCTACTCAAGGATTTGCTACTTAGATACAGTTAGTATAATTCATAAAGTCACTTCATAAAAATAACTGCCCCAACCTTACAAGCTCCATTTTCTCCTATGATGTTTACCAAGGCAATCTCTTAAGATTCTTCTTCATTGCTTGAATGTAGAAACTGCTTAGTAAAATTCTCCAACTCACTTTCAAGTTGAACAGCTTTATTTCTAATTAAAAACAAAACAATCTAATTATCATAAAGGTCAGTGGGAAAAAAATGCGTCCTATTCAAATCTTAAAAAAAAAAACACTAGCCAGCTGTTGCTACATTTATCTGAACTCAGATTATTAACCCTTTTTAAAGCACTTATTATATGTGCTACTATAACTTTGCAACAAACACAATCCAATGTTCAGGACTTTAAAAAAAGGTATACTGAGATAAAAGACAAAATCTTTAACAAGAATGAAAAGCTTATGAGACAGTGGAGTCGTATCACCTTACATAGGAGTTATATCCTAAGTCACATGGATTCCCTTTAAGTTAAGCACTTTATGTATATGTGAAGTAGCTGGCAGATGTCAAAGGAACATGGTGGACCAAAAAAAAATGTTTTTTAATATTAGAACTGTACTTGATGGAGCCAAATGCCCATAACAAGAGAGGGGAAAAAAGAATGAAAACAGACAGGGCAAAACAGGTTTGTGTCTTCCATACAATGCCAGGGCGCGCGCGCACACACACACACACACTCTCTCTCTCTCTCTCTCTCTCTCGATTTTTTTTTCTTGGTCTTCTTTCATTGCTACGTGTATATGGTCAAGGCCATATAAGTTAAATGTACATGTGAATTTCTTCAGGTATTTCTTCAGGTAACTCTAAAGCATTAGTTAACTTCTATCTGAATGGCTAAGCCTAATTTAGTAATAACGGAAAGTCCAAGTACTGTTAATATTCTAAATTTTCCTGTTAGGAAAAGAATTAGCAGATCAAAAATATTATTTATTCAAGTCAGTCTGGCCAAAATCTGAAAGCTATGTAAGTGCCAATAATCTATTTTATCATTTGCTTCTTTAACTACAAGGTGAAAAAGTATTTAAAAAGTATACTTAAGTTAAAAAAAAAATTTCTACTGGGTATAGTTTCATCAAATTTGAAAGGCTTTATTTGGAGTGATCTAACTTAAAATAGGAGCGATGGAATATAGGAAATTCACTTGGGTGTGTGTCTGTGCATGTGAAGGGAGGCTGGGGTTGAAGTGACAGGCAGTCAGTTACCTTTTCCAGACACACTGAAACAGGTACCACGAGAAGATGGCTGCCAATCAGATTAAGATACCATAGGTAAATGCTATCACAGGTGTTCTAAACATGTGTCTAAAAATCCAGTTCACAAGGACAGCCTCTCCAATTTGCAGACACTGGACACTGTTTTTATACAGGCAATTTTATGGAGCATGTGTCCTGGCAACTAGCAGCAGGGAACAAATGATGTTTAATGATTCTCCTAGATTTGTAGGTGAGCCAGCCAATGGGTAATAAAGCTGAAAGTTAAGAACTGCCAAGAAGTATAGACCTGGTGATGACACTTCTGGTCTTGTTCCCTCACCAGACTCCAAAGAATCCATGACAAGTCATATTAAACCAGAATTCCACATTATCTTAGGGTATCTTGTTTACTTTTGTTGCTTCAAATTTAAGTATACCTAACAGTCTCCAGTGAGAACAGAAGTTACAGGTCTTGGATATATACAGGACTGAAAACTCATACATTTAATTACAGAACTTCTGCTCTGAAAAGGCACTAATGTAGCTTAACAGAAAGCTTTAAGTGTACATCTAAAAAATTCCTTTAAGTTCAGATTTTTCTTGTTGAAATTAGCTTTCATTGAAACTGTAAAACATATGGAATTCAATATGGGAAATTATAATTAAGTCAATAAAGTCAAAATTTTTTAACAAATTTGCTAGTGATTTTACATAATTATATTTCAGTAATGAGATAGATAAATGTTCGTATTATTGAGAAAAAAAAGGTTCAAATACCTTAAGAGCTTTGCATTGTGTTGTATTTTCTCCAGTTGATCTATTTCTTTGGATAATCTAGCAATTTCTTCTTCTAGATGTCTTTGTGTAATATCAACTTGTTGGCACAGACGAGCAAAAGTGGTTGCCATTTCCCTTAAAATAAAAAACAATTTTATCAGCAGTCATGAATGCCTTTCAAAATGAATACACTTTAATTTAAAGCTTATATAAAAAAGAGATCACAAGTTAAAAAAGTCCCAAAACATTAGGTCAAAGAATACCGCTAAGAATGGTGTGAGGGTGGGTATGACGCTTCTAAGCTTAATTTGATGGTGGCCTCAATTTCATCTGGCCTCAAGACAAATGCTCAATGAGTAATATTACTCTGCCATGTTGCTGTCAATATGAGTAAACGATAAAACAGCAGAGGCTAGATATATTTATTCAGAAGCACAATAAGCCTTACTCTTGTCCCCTGCCTATATAAAAATAAATTACTAAATAGGAAAAAATTTAATGAACTTTGGTGACTCAGTCAAAAATACTTTAAGTTATAGACACATTTAACCATGTTTCTAGAACCAAGGAGTTATATTTGTGTGCCAGTTAATATATTAACTTTGGCAAATATTATGTTTATATTTTTGCATGCCTGGTAGATGGGTACCTCTGGAATTTAATTTAGTGGTCGCAACCCTGTGCCCT